ACCTTCTTAGATATACGAATCATTTCGTGTTCCTTATGAACGAAATGATATTGCCAATACAGGTCGGTGCTAGGTCAATCAGGCAGTCATAGAAATTATGTGCTAGATATTTATGTCCTTCCCCAGACCATCCGCTGGTAGATAATATGCTTAAAGAAGTACCTTCTCTCACTAACTCATCCGTTAGGCACTGACACTTAGACATCGGCTGTTTTTCATCTAACTGAGAGCGTAGTAAAAGCTAAAGATATACATACAAAAAAATTTTTATATTTATTCAATAAACATACATACATATATATATATATATATCCATAGAGTGATGAAGTGAAGTATTGGCATAGGCAGATAGTTCAACTTTAACCCCTTTTTTGACCACTCATTAAAATATTTTTAATTCCAAAAAAATTCTAGATGGAGGGACACATTTTCAACTATTTTCACTTCAATTCATTTTATTATCTTTTATGTTAAATTAATACTAATTATAAATGAAAAAATAGTCATTTTCACCAAGCAAAGATATTGGCACACCTCATAAAAACACAGAAAAAATATAATAAAATTGTAAAGTATTAACGAAATTAATATTTTGTTGCCAAGCCTTTATGTTTGATGACGCTTTTGCACCGATGAGACCAATTTTTGTGTGGTTTCTTTCCCAATATTCTGCCATTCCTCCACCAGCGCCAGATTCAACTCTTCTTTTGTTGATACAGCGTGCTCTTCCCACAAATGTTCAATTGGGTTTAGATCCGGCGATTGGGCTGGATGAGCCGATTGCTTCGGATCATTGTCGTGCTGAAATGTAAATGACTCTGACAGATTTTGGCACTTTTTTTTGCCATTCCTCTCAAGAATTTCCAAATAGTATTTTTTGTTCATAATGCCGTCAATGAATTCCAGCTCGCCTCACACCTGCAACGGACATGCAGTCCCTTACTCCAGACTCTCTCTTTTTGAAGTTCTGTGCAAGGTTTTCTCCACATAGTTTGATGGACCTCAGATTGAAAGATATTAGATTTACTCTCATATAAGAAGAGTTCATTGTCCCAAAAGTCAATTGGTTTGCTTATGTACTCCTTAGCATGGGCTAAACGTTTCTATTGCATCACTTTTGAAATTAGCTACACAAGAATGAAATTTAGATCAATCAAATTTAAGCGAAATGGCCCAGTAAAAATTAAGTGTGCCAATTCTTTTTTTGATGAAAATCAGTACGTTTTTCCATTTATAATTAGTATTAATTTAACATTAAATATAATAAAATGAATTGAAGTGGAAATAGTTGAAAATATGTCCCTCTGTCTAGTATTTTTTTCGGAATTAAAAATGTTTTCATAAGTGGTCAGAAAAAGGTGTTGAATTATCTTGCTGTGCCAATTATTTAGTTCCTCACTGTATTTATTTAGAAATTCATTTCTGAAAAAATCTTAATCAAAATGTTTCCAAGATATAGAGTTTTTGTTATCACAAAATTTTATTTTATTTCAACACTCATGACCTTAAAATGTTTTTCATTTTATTCCAAGTAGAAAACATCAATTTTAGCTATTTACTATATATGTACATACATATGTCGTTTATTGAAAATCATAGCTGCTAACATTTTCTTTATAATTCTCTTTTACCAAACTTTTTTATGTGTTTGCATTGAAAATTCCAACACTGCTCACCTGAAAATCTTATGTAATATTTTTGAACAAACTGACATTTAAAGCTTTTTATACATATTTTCTTTCTAAATCACGAAAAATCATTATTTAATTTATTTGTATAGAATATATAGAAAAAATGTCAGCAATCCATTTACTTTACATTTCTATGCAAAAATAAATACATTAAGCTACAATTTGAATATATACGTATACTCGTATGGTAAGGTAACTTGTTAAACTTGCAAATGCATATTCTTTCAAGGGAAAATAATATTTTGTGAGTACAGAGAAAAAATAACCTCAGCAAGTTCAAATTTAAATTTGGTGAAAACTTGAAATTTCTTAGAAAATGAAACTGTATACACATATAGACATTTATTCATATGATGGACATTTAAAAGAATTTGTAACCCAAAGATATAGTTATTTAACATAAATACTAAATACCATATAAAATAAATAAAATTAATGAAGAAACTATTTGCAAACCGATTAAAATGGGTTTCATACGAATAACTAGTATATACATACTTACATATATCGTTTCTTAGTCGCATTATATTTCATAGGTGGAAGGTAAGAAAGCTATGCTGTTAAATAACTTAGCATTGCAGCATTTATACGCAAATTACAAATGCGAGAAGCTTGAAATGTGAACACTCGTCATCGCGTACATACACACACTTGTACTATTTCTGAGAGATGGAATTTAGTTAGTTTCAATCTTTTGAAATGTATGAGTGTTTTTTGTTTTACATACATAAATATGTGTGTGCATATCAATTTAAATACTTTTTAAATTAAAAAAAATTTATGAATAGAGCATTTAACAAATAAATTTTATCAATAGCAATTCTATAAGATATACGTGTACATATGTTTGCAGGTATGAATTTATTTATTGTGCAAAAATCCTTAATCTTCATTCGATAGGACATCAAAGTCATATTAAATTTATCATATCATTTTATATTTCAATTCTTTTTTCGATTTACTTTAATTTGCTTTATTTTATTTCACTGTATTTTATTTTGTTTTTTCTGGCTTCATTTGTTTTATTTTGAATGTTTTTTTTCTATTATTTCTTTTAAATATTTTATTTTAATTAATTTAAGCTTTAATTTTTTAATTTTATATTGCATTATTTTATTTTAATTTTATTTTACTTGATTATATTTCATATTATTTTATTTTAATTATTTTATTTTCGTTTATTTTTTTTTATTTTTTTTATTTTATTTAATTTTTTTTTTAATTTTTTCTTTTGTTTCAATTATTTTATTTTAGTTTACAATTTTTAATTAATTAAGTATTATTATTTTACTCTACTTTATTTTATTTCGATTTTTTAAATCAAATTATTGTATTTTGCTTTGTTCTTTTAATTTTATTTGATTTGTTTTATTTTTTTATTGTTTAATTGAGTATTATTTATTTTATTTTAGTTTACTCTATTTTATTTTACTTCAGTTTGTTTTAGTTTTTTTCTTATTTCATTTTATTTTAATTCAGTTTATTTTTTTTATTTTCTTTTAATTTTATTTTAAATTATTTTGTTTTATTAGTATTTTTTAGTTTTATTAATTTTTTTTGTTGTTATATTTAATTTTATATTTTATGTTATTTTATTTTATTTTGTTTAATATTTTTTATTTTATTTTAATTTATTTTTTTTTTATTTCACTTTATTTTCTATTTAATTTTTTCTATTTATTTTGTTATTTTTTTATTTATTTTTTTTTTGAATTCTTAATTTTTTTTTATTTAATTTTTTTTTTGTAATTATAGCTTTTAATTTTATTATACTTCATTTTGTTAAGTTTTATTTTATTTATTTTGTTTTGCTTTATGATATTTTATTTATTTTATTTTTTTATGTTATTTTATCTTATTTAATTCCATGCTTTTTATGTTTTTTTTTTGCAATTAATTTAATTTTTGTTATGTTTATGTTCCTTCTTCTACGTCTTCTAACAATATTGTAATGTGAATTGGAAAAATTCGGCAAGAAACAACTTAACTATATTTTTATGCCGCTAGTATTTTCTCTGCGAACCAGGTTATTTCATTTTTTTCCTGGCATTGTTGTTTTACTGCTTCAAATTCTATACAATTTTTTTTTTTTTTTTTTTTTTTTTTTGGAGTCTACCATAAATTCTTTTCCGCGTTTCCTCATATATTTGTTTTAAGATTTTCATTTAAAAATGGGCTTGAATATACATATATATGTACTTGTATGTATGATAGACGTGTGTTTGTGTGTCGATGCGAGTATTTTTTAATTAGCAATTAATGAACAGTGAGCAATACTACACCGCCATCAACATTAATTGACGTGCCCATTTGTCTGCCCGACCATAGCTGGCATGCAGACGTACAGACGTACTTATGAAAGCAAATATACTAAATGCAAATACTTGTATTGGTGTACGAGTGTGTGTTTGTGTGCTCGCGTAGATATTCACTTCAATTGCATTGCGGTTCTTTGTTTCCTCTTCCGTTTCCTATACGTTTGATAGGGAGGAAGTGGTTATTCGGTTGGCTGATTGGCTGACTCTCTCTCGTCGCGCTATTACTTGGCTTTTGTGCATGAGGAGTCTGAGGAGAGGCTCTTCATGGTTTGGTGGTTTGCCTGGGTTATGGGTAAACTGAGACCTAGCTCCTCGACGCCTATTTTGCACCGATATGAATGTGTATATATATATATATGTACACCTATATATTGATTTGATGGTTTCCTCTGTGTTTTTGCTGCTGTGTCTTTTTCTTCTTCTTCTCCTTCGCTCCATTTTTAATTGCACGTAATTGATGCTGCGGTTACGCTGTAGTGCCATAATGACTAATTGAAGTTAAAATAAGAAACGACGAATGCATTCAGTGAAAGATGATAAGTACGCGTTGAAGTGTACACGTTGAAATACATACAAATATTTAAAGTAGAGCGAAAAAGAAGTTAAACAAATTGCCCACAGGGAGGTGCTGACGGCAGGCAGCAGCGCTTCAATAATATTGGCTGGGTTTATAATTCATTTAATTTATATGTTAATAAGGCGAATAATTGATAAAATCAGATTTAAATGGATTTTCGCCTTTAACTTTATCTACAAAATCCCGCTTGGAGAGGTTAAATTGACAACTTTTCCATGACATTTAAATATAAACTTTTTAATTGAATTTTAATGGCTGACTGATGGTTGGGCTATGAATTTCTGTATGCTTTAAGTGTGAGTTTGCAAAAGAGTATCGCAGTTTTTTAAAGTTTTAAATGAAAAGTGAATATTTCATATTTATTATTTTTTTTTCATCTAATTAATAAAATTTCTCTCCTCCGCTAATTTACAGAAATGGAAAGTGCGCCACGCAATGTACAAGTCCGACCGCTGAGTTCCTCAACAATGGTTATAACATGGGAACCGCCAGAGACACCAAACGGACAAGTGACCGTAAGTAGAAAATTATACATTATTTCAAAATCATATGAAAATTTCTAAAGTATATAGAAAGTAAAATTCAATTAAAAAATTAGCAGTTACTACTTAAAGTGATTAAAAAAATTTGAATTAATTTGAATTTTAATTTTAAAAAATCTTAAATCGCTAAAAACTATTCTTGCTCCTCTCAACAATTAAATTTTAATTTAACTTAAATTTGATTTCGATTAATAAATTTCAGCAGTTGGATAATTATTTTTTCCTCTTGCTGAACAGTTTTACATCTCGACACTTAACAAACGCTCGCCAATCATAACACGGCATATTCCGTACGTTATAGGGATGTTGCCATTCGTGGCGGTTGGAGGGTATTCGTTGGGCTCATTATTATTATCAAAAAATTAAAGTTTTTTAAAACAAAAATAAATAAAGAGCTTAAAAAATTGAATATGTTTTTATATTAAAGTACAAGATCTCAGGAATATCCTGCGAAATTTCATGTCGATCAAACTAAAACTCGCTGAGATACCGATTATCTCGTAATCGTGCTCAGGGCACTTTCAATTGCTTTTAAAATTTTAGGTGCGTTTTTCTCAAAACAACTTTTTTAAAGTCCAAGTCGATGCGTAACGTAGCTCCAAAAGTAATGCTCCGATATAAATGAAATTTTGCACATATCCTTTATACAATGAATATTTGCAGATAAACGACTGTTTTCATATAAAAAAATTATGCTTTTTAAATGTGAAAATGATACTTCCGCATTCAAAACCAGACCAAAAATTAAAAATCGCATTTTATATATATAGTTCATCTGTACAGGATATATAAATATCTGATATATTATTAGTTTATTATTATTTTTTTTTTATTTTTATTATTTTATCTCAAATAACACTGCGAGGACAGGTTTTACGCACCGCAATACTACACTTTTTTAAAGCGACTCCGACCGACCGCCGCAACGGGACAAATAATAAGAGGTTTTTGACAAACAAAAATCCTAGCTACTCTCCAAATATAGCCATTTATTATGTATAAAACTTGAATAATTATATTCACTTAGATATGAAAAAAAAATTACAAAAATCTGCTTTTTTTTCAGCCCCGAAAACGATCCTGCTCTCTTATAGAGTAAAGCTACTCTAGGAGTTGAAAAATTACTAATTCCTTAAAATTATTTTGTAGGAATATGGGAAAAGTAAAAGAGTTTCTATTTACCCATCTTATTAAACACTTTTTGAGGTGTAAAAAATATTCTTTAATTATTATTTATTTACAAAATGGCGGTGATAAAGTCTATTATTCAATCCACGCTTTTTTCGAAAGCTGTCCACGGGAGGACATATTTCTTCCAAACGATAGGGTCTAAAATAGGAAAGTATAAAGTTTTATGATTTGCAAACTAGAGGCTTTAGAAGTATGTACGGATTTATATTTTAACTAATTTTTATGAAAGCGGCGCACTTGTTTTTTAAAAAAGATTGATTTTTGACTCAAAAATTCTCAAAACGGCTACTCCCAAAAGAAATCGATGAATTAGGGTCCGAATAATCTGTCTTTCCAGTTTGAATATTGTGATTTTGAGGAAAACGCGTTTAAAGTTATCTTTGTACTCAGCGCACTCCCTGAGAGAAAAATGAAAAGTTCAGCTATTTGAAATATTTTTTTCGCTTTACAATTGGATATCATTTCGGGACCCAAACGTACCCTGTGAGCAGAAAAATCCGTTTTCCAAAATCCTAGAGTGGCTTTACCCCTTAAGACAATTTCTATTATTTTTTCTTTTTTTTTAAAGTGAAATTTTGACTTGTTTGTACCTCACGCTCTTTAAGATAGATTCATGGTAATTACAATAACAAAGAAATTATTAAAGATTTTTTATACAGCGAAAAAGGTTGAACTAAAAATATATATATATATTTTTTTTTTTGTATTTAAATCTCCCAATAGAAAACTAATAATAAATTAAGAAAAACATTTGAAAAATGTTAAAAAACAATGATACATTTTTGGTTAGCTACAAACATAATACAAGCCACGAATGACAATGAGCACTCAAGTAGTTTCCTTAAGCTTGAGAATAGATTACAGTCTCTTCCTTACAAAAGTATTTTTGACTCCTACAGAATTTCTTCGTGTCCCAATTGCCTTTCTAGAAAGAAGAAATGTCCCTAAAGTTATAAATTCTTTATTCAAAAAATAACTAAATCTCGTCGCGCAATATTCAATGAGAAATGTATACGCTACTCCATTTCATAAAATAGTCTAGTAGAAAGTTATCCATAATTTTTTCATTGAAGAATTTCTTTACTGCAGAGAGTGTGATCCGATTTATGTCAAATCTGCACTGTTTGCCATTATAAGAATAATGTAGTTATGCTTTCTTGTCCCTATGGGAAAAAATTGTTACGGTCGATTCTCACAGGTTTGTCTTGAGACCAATTCTTCACCAGCCATATCATGCGCCATAGACAGGAAATCAAGGTAATTACTTAGAGCGAAGACCGGAACATAAGGTGAATGCTCGAAACTTCTGTCGAGTAACTACCTATGTATATAACGTTGCATTGATGAAACATAATTCACCTCTTTTCGACCAAGGCATTCAGACGGTCCAATTGCTGACTGCACTGGTCCCAATTAAAAATTTTTCCGTAGGAGAGCAGCTGATAGTGCTTGATTCCTGGCCAATACCACCAAGCACATAATATAACCTTCCTGGCCGTTAATCCTGGCTTGGAGACCGAATGTGTTGACTCATTTTTCATTTGACGTTGCTGTTTCCACTTTATATTACCATTTCAGAAATAGGACGATTTTCGTACGTTTCAGCAGTGATTTGTAGATGGAAGTCCGGTCCGTAATATTTTTCTTTGTTAACTGATGGAGCATTCATGTTTCGAGCAACTTTGTGCTCGACGATTTCCGTTAATATATACATATTTTCGACGATTGGTTTTTCATACCGTAGAACAGTTTTACATCGAAGTTTACCCGATCGAAATAAACGAAAAAAATTTTGCATGATTTACTGGTACAGTTTTAGGGTCACAAACACTTTTCGCAGTTTCAACTGCCTGGCTATAGCGAAATTTCTTTTTACTAGCGTCTATCTTTGTCACGCGCTCAAACACTACTGAGTTGGGTGATCAACACCTCTCCAGTTACCGTCTTGTGTACGAAATATCATCTATATTATGTCTTATAGCAAAATCGAATAGCAATTATAGAAGGCGAGATAGAGATACTAGGTATGAACACGATTTCATGTATAGGCAAGAGCACTTCGGACCTTTCACAGTAGTTTTTCCAGCTACCCCTTAGTATGATAAGTTAAAATCTTTAATAATCTTTAATGCAGGCACAGACAATTTTGTCGTATTACTAACTACTCTTACATGCATCATTACATCTGACTTAGGCTTGATTTAGGTGGTGTTGTCTACCAATCTATCGTACCAATGACTTCAAGGCTTGACTAAGACCCATATTAGGCTTCGTTAAAAAGCTGTTTCGATTCTCTGATGAAACTTATTATATCCATAACTTTGGCCTCGGCCATCGTCGATTAGAGCATCCAGCAGTAGAGTCTTAAAATCAGGACTGTCGCTTAAGTGATAGGTGATAATTTTCTCCTACTCATCAACCTTGCATATCATCGTATCAGATAATGGCATGTTAGAACTTATAATTTTCTAGACATGTCAACTTTTTTAAGGAGTACATAACTTGTGATCTAATCTTATTCCATTTCGACTAGATGTGCCTGATTTTGTGGCAGTTTTTTCCCTCCATTTCGACGCGGCTTATTCTATGTAAATTCTTTTAGTAGAAGCAGTTTGCTAGTGGCAAAAGGCATACCAATGCATTCTTTATTGATATAAATCTGATTGCAAGGTACAAGCCTAGGAGCTACACACGCTTAACAGTCTCCCCCGATGTCCTTGGGACTCACGTGAGACACTGTTTGGTCATCTTCTATAGAGATTTTGGATTTTGGTGTAAACGAGCGCAGTGTTATTATTGCTGCCTCACTTTCGCTGACAGTGAAGAAATCCTTCTCTTTAATACTGCCTCCAAAATATCTTACTTAATTCAATACATTTTCGACACTCTCGTGTTCAAACATATATTATTTATACAGAAATATATTTACTTGTATGCTCCATTCCCACCACTCGTCCATCGTTCTTTAATTGATTATATTATCCTTCGATCTTCCTCGGCAACTATGATTCCTTTAGTTTGCACGAATAATGGCTTTCTCTTGACCTTAGAGGCAAAAATAGAAATATATCGCATTATTATTGGCAACAATTTCAATTTGGTCCAACACACACGCACACATTTGTGGTTTATTAAATTTGCATAAAATAGTTGCAATCAGCAATGATGACGATGCTGATGTTGGCAAGAGGTAAATAATAAAAGGTTTTGGTAGAAAATGTGCATTAGTAATTTGACCACAATTGCAAATTTAGTTGTAAGATATTCATATTTAATGATTGGTGAAATGAAAATCTGGTTCTTCTCTCACACGTTGTATGTGCATCAGATATTGTGCTCATAATGTATATACATATATCTATTTAAAGTGGTCGACAATGATAATAGTAATCAATATTGTGACGAGATAATAGAAATATCGAATATGTTGATGAGCCAACGATTATATTGAAATATATATGTCAGACGACAGCCGCAATAGTTGAGTGCGAACTAACATTCTGAAGGTTAGTGTTCCAGTCCTTGTTCGACCAACATGCAAATGGTTTAGAAAACTAATATAAATCAAAAAATATAGTTAAATTTTCTAATTCTTTTTGACCCTCGGCAGAGAGTGTCAAGCTCTTCACGTATCTTACTGACATGCAAATAAAAACTGCGCTTAAAAATCCATCGGTCGTTCAAATGCGGCTTAGAAAAAACTTTGGGCTCCTCTGTTTGCTGGAAAAGATCAAGACGCATACCACAAATCGGAGAATTAGGTTGCTTGATCACGGAATTCT